CATCTGGAGGCCCGAGCTGCTGATCCGTTCTGGGTTACGAAAGAACCATCTACTCGACACACCGAGAGACGCCTCGTCGAAAAGGTGCTGCTTAACCTTCGAACTTCGCCGCTGACCCACGCCCCATCACCAGAAGCCTTGCGTTGACGACGACTATTTCTGTGCTGACGGAACGGAACTTCACCGCTGACCTGTGCCCCATCACTAGATCACCTACGCTGACGACGGCTATTTCTGCGCTGACGGAACAGAACTTCACGGCTGACCCACGCCCCCTTCACCAAATCACTTACGCTGACGACGACTATTTCTGCGCTGACGGAACGGAACTTCACCGCTGACCCACGCCCCCTTCACTAGATCACCTACACTGACACTCTTTCACTCTAACTACCTCACTACTCACCTCACTAGTCACCTCGTCCCTTTTTTTATTTATTGTAAATAATTTATTTTATTCAAATTACCATCTTTTAGTTTATTTATTTTCGTTTCATAACAAGCGATTGTGATATGTAGGTTAGACTAGTACTGATGAGTATGATAAAATAGTCTCGAATTATATTAAATTTGATTTCAAGAGTCAATGACAAGAATAAAGGATTCTTGTCATTGACTCTTATAGTAAGGGAATGCTTTAAGCATTGTCTCTGCCGCTCCACAGGTGGTATATGGTATCTAAGCGGACCTACCCAAAAGCTAGTTAAAACGTGAATGGTAAACCTATGAAACGCCATTGCACCTTCATTTTTGGGGATAAGGCTTAGGATCCAGCAGAGAATGTTCCATACCCAGCGTCTGGGGGAAAAGTACCCTAGAAAATGACCCTAACACTTAAAAATGAAATCATCTAATTATACGGATTGAGACACTGATTTATATTTTAAAACAACATATTTAGAGGTACAGAAAAGTAAAATGAAAACCAAAATCTCCATAATAATATATACAAAAGGAGTACGCAACAGTTGTGTTATGATTAGTGTTATTTCAGAAATTGCTACCTTACATAAACAATTCTCAAAACTTTATGAATAAGGGCGAAAATTTAAAAATATGGTTGTTGTTGACAGCATAAGAAGTTTGGCACGCGTTTTGTTTGTAAAGTAGGTAGACGATTCTCATGTTTCTGTTGAGTTTAATTTATAAGAGTACGTACATTATGATGCAGTTAATACTTGTGTTACGGCGTGATTTAGTGTGACATAATCATATTTTAGCGATAAAGTAAATGTACGAGTTCGAATTAGTGCAATCACTCAAAAAGGGTTATGGAACGTTTGAAATTAACTGATATTTTTTTTAATGTTAGGTTTAAAGATTATTTCTGGTAGGATCGTAGGTCAATGTGAAGTATACTACTAAATATCTATGTCCTAATTTGTCCTTTTCTAATTTCTTACTAAATATCATCAAAAAATATAAATGGCATAAAAATAAAAAATTAAAGACTTACTTACGGTGACTTAAGATGAGATATATTATATTTATGATATTGGTTTTATAAAAAACTAGCATGTTTCCTATATTTTAAATACAAACCTTTCTCTTGAATCAGTCTTGTAAATTAAACGATCTCAGCGTAGGGACTTTGTTTATACTACTCGTACGTTTAGATACATTAAAAGGTGAAAAAGATATTTAACCTCTTTTGACAGTAATATTAGACCAATTATTTAAAAATCATCATTCATTTATAAGTCTAGCTCACTATTAATATTAAAAGTATCTTAATAAATAAGAAAGAAACAGGAAAATTTTATATTAATTATTATATTTGATAAATTTTGCATTCACAGTGCTCTACCTAATATTAATGTTCAGAACAATTCAGTCGTACTTTAAGAATATCATACAACCAGATTACACAGACAATGGAAATAAATAGCCTTATTACAGTTAAGAACAGGAAATTCTCAAGAGTTATTATCTCTTAGATGGCCAAGTGTTTTATTATCCGGAATCGCCATTCAAATCTCGGATACTTAACATTTTGTAGGATCCATTTATCATGTTATTGCGCACCTAATACTAAAAAAACAGCTAAGCGAATTGTTATGATAAAAAACACAAGTATACAAGTAAACCCAGTGAGCTTAACATGTATATAGTAAACACATGTTAAGCTCACTGGGTTTATTAGACTAAAACATAATTTGCTACTACTTTTTCACTCAAATAAATCAACGAAAGTTTTTTCATCCTGATACATGATAGAAGGAGACCCCATTCTTGCTAGCAATGGCATACGTTTGTATATGAATTAATAAGCAAGCAAAATAGTTTTTTTTTTACAGGTATATTAAAATAAATAAGGTGTAATGAGTACTCGTGCTGTGTTTATGCAAGCGTATGTCAGTGTATTTGTGTGCGATTGTAGGTGGTTTTATGATTAAAACAAAACTTTCTTCGTGCAAACTATCAGTGCTTATTGTCAGAGTAAATTTGCAATTTTAGTCCAAATTCATATTATACAGAGAATAAGCAAACCTACTACCTTCTAGAACTAAATATAACTCCTGTAGAACCCCGTACTAGGTTTTTCTGTTTCTGTTTTTGTCAACATGTAAAAACGTTACTACCTTAGTAGTAATTTGAGTAATCGCATTTAATTTGTTCTTAAATCATTTAACTAATAGTATTCCAAATTACATCTACGGAACATACAACATATGTAAATATATTTCAATACTACGGAATTTAACTAAATATTCCGATAAGGTTCGATGGTACATACCACAATACCACTCGATTAATTTGGAACACTTTGTTGCAGATTCGAGGATTGCCAGACACAACGATGCTCAGTATCCAATAAAATGTTCAATGGGTTGGACCGGTTAAATAAATAAAATTGAAACCAACAAGTGAACACGCAAAAAAAAAAACGATAAAATCAAAGATTTTTTTATCGTATTTCCTAATTTGAAATCGGATAGTAATATAAAAGGAGGTCACTTATGGTATTAATAATAAAAAAACATAAATTAAACAAGCAAATCCAGTGAAAGATTAAATTTATAAATTAATTCACATAATGATAATAAGACATTTTTAATGTTGATGATATTGGTGTTCAAATGAAGCAGGGATTTTAAGAAAACGAAGCGCTTAATAATGATTATGTGTTTGAAGGGAAAATGTAAAAGATTAATCTTAATATAATTATGAATGAAATTATGATCAATACGTAATTAATAAAGTCGCATTAGTTGAGCTTATTAAATATGTGAACATTACTAGAAATATAAGAGTCGATTAGTGCGAAATTTGATACCAATACAGTATTCAAATGTGGACTGGCAAGGTATTTCACAATGATAAACATACTCAATAAGTTATTAAAAAAGTGTTACTTCCAAAAAGACACTTAAGTGTTCGAGAAAGGAGAAACAAAAATAGTGCAAGAAAAAACAATAATAGTGCACAAAATGACTGCTGTGATGCAAGTGGTGATCATTTGCATTATTCTGCTGTTTAATGGTAAGTTATGTTTTAAATTAAGTTATCTTATTTATAAAATTTAAATTGACAAAAAATAAACTTTATTTGTTTTTTTAAGAGTAATTAAGTTTTCGTTACATATCTAGTTTCACAATCCAAAACTCATTTAAGTTGCAACTCGGTAGAAAACCCGAGAAATATAAGTAGCAAACAGTGCTTACTCAGTTATTAAAATGTTTGTTTGTTTAAATATTTCTGAAGAATATGCCAAAATATGATCAATGATAATAATAGTCATATATTTTTTCGCACAAGCAATGATATTTGAAAAAAAAATAATAAAGTTGTCAGTAGCTATATGTTTGTGTAAATGTGTTTGAGGATGGGACAAAAAACAATGAGACTATTGTCTTTGATAACGCAGTTCCGCACATCATGAGATCGGAAATCAAAAGACATGTACTGAAACTTGAGGACGAAAATATGAATGCATTAACACATTTATTCAACCAAGTCTACGATTCGGGAGTCCTGAGGATTGGTTAAAATCTATATTTGTCGCACTCTCTAAGAAAAAAAAAGCAAAAAAAAATCTGTCTATTATTCACAACAAAAAACGAACAAAATGTGAAGAGCAACTTGGAGTGAGCCAATTTGGTTTTCGGACAGGTATGGGTACTAGAGAGGCAGTGTTTGGTCTTAAAGTTTTGGTACAAAGTGCAAGGAAATACCGACAGACGTAATATTAGGTCCTTACATATGAAATTGGTGTTTGGTATGGAAGGAACAAAAAGTCGAATATTGTTTAATATAATATATTTATTTAATCAAATTATAAACCATTGTTATCTATGCACTTTACCATCTCATAGGTAGTTCATTGATACCTTTACTAAAAAAACCATTCGGACGGGGACTAATAAAATCTTTGAAGGCGATTTGCATTGTTCCATCGGAGTTGAATTTTTCCCCTTGCAAGAAGTCATCCAAATTTCGAAAAAAAGTGGTAATCTGTTGAAGCAAGGTCCGGGGAGTACGGTAGATGTCTTAGACATTCCAATTGAAGCTCTTCTAATTTGGTAGCCGTCTGTTGTGCTAGCGTTGTCGTGAAGTAGCAGTGGCGTAAAGCGATTGACCAGCCTCGGTTATTTAACAGCTAGTTTTTCCAGCTTGGTTTGCAATTGCTGACAATAGATGTGTGCCATAATCGTCTGGCCAGATTTGAGAAAATTGTAATGAACGACACCGGCACTAGTCTACCAAACGCTTACAAGTAACTTTTTTGGGGTCAATTTTCGCTTGGGGCAGGATTCGGCTTACATACAAGGGTCCAACCATTGCGATGAGTGCTCTCGATTATTGTAGAGAATCCACTTTTCATTACAGGCAATAATTCAATTCTTCATTATTAACTTTGGTCTCCGGCGGTCCACGGGGCTTGTTCTGCAGGTCGAATTTTCCAGAACGAAAACGTTGGAACCAAAAGCGCACTGTGTTTTCTATTGCGACACAACCATCATACACATCATTAACCCTTCGAGCCGTTTCCGCAGTACTGGTACCATTGTGGAACTCGTACTCGTAAATAACACGATATTTCAAGTTTTCCATTTTTTATACAGGGTGATGTAAATAGGACAAACAGACGAAAAAAAGAAATAAATGAATGCCACCTAATGAAACACAAAAACATGTGTAAATATATAAATTTGAATTTGGAATTCCCAACCAAGAAGGAGAAATTTGTTATTAAAGTAGCCAGTACGACAACACGCCAATTTCATATGTAAGAACCTAATATTATGTTTTATTGACTATGAGAAAGTTTGTGGCCTAGTCAAACACGACATCTTAATGCGACACTTAATGAATATTGGCTTGGATGGACAAGATTTAGCACTATCAGAAATTATATTGGAATCAAACAACTACCATAAAAGTGGAAAAGTTGGAAATGGATCATGTTGCCATTTGTCGTGTTTAAAGGCGGGGCCGAATATGTCCAAAAAGGGGAATCTAAATCCAAGCATAGTATTGGCAGGTCTAACACTTGAGCGAGTTTATCAATATAAATAGTCCATTGATACTTGTGACAAACGGTGATGTAAGGTAGTGAGGCTTGGACTCTGAAAAGAACATCCAAAAATGTCTTGAAGCATTTTTGATGCGGTGTTACAGGAGGATGTTACACTTAAGTTATACACAAAATTTAGCAATGTACGAGTACTCTATCGCGTTGTTAAGACCCGAGAATTAATAGGAACCTTTAAGCAAAAGAAAGTGGATTTGGCCAAAATTTAAGGTATGAGAGATACTACTAAGATAGACGATACGAAAATGGACTAAGATAGCCAGCGTTAAAGAACTTTTCCACTTGGCTCAAGATAGGGAGAAATTCACTGAGTTGACGGCAAATATTCAGTAATGGAGAGCTACATGAAAAAGAAGAAGAATATCAGTAGTTAATCGAAAGCATTACACCTTGCTTAGTTTGCACTGCACTCTATGACCACGTTTATTTTTTAACCACTCACACGATTAGAAATGTAAACGTTATCGTCTAACCGTTAGTTAAAAACTCCGTTATATGTCTACTTAATTTCATATTCCCCATATCCCTAAATAGTTAATTATACTCAATATTTTTTAGCCTCTGCATATATTGAGTTTTTGATTTCTTATTTAATAAATTATTTACTCAGTGCAGTATGTGTTAGTTAAAACCTAAACTTTATTATATGAGCAACTTAAATATTTCGATATTCTGTTTATACATGGTTACGAAGGAATCTCAATATTTTTTTATAACTATGGAGCAATAAAACCTTTATTAAAATGGCTATTAGCCAAAACAAAAGAATGTCATACCGTTCATGAAAAATGGGCTTATGGTTAAAAGTCCTCTGAAATTTCTTTTCCTTGGCTATACATTTTCTTGACGCATTCTTACTGAGGCACGTGCCCTCCGGCCCTTTTTTAAATGACATCATTTAAGAAATATTTCGTTCCGTACAGTTTATTCGAAGCTGCCGATTTGCTACGAATTTCCAAGTTTGATTAATAATAATGAGCGCTCTAATTACTTTCCTTATTTCTTCAACGAATACTTAATGAGTTTAGAATTCTTCTGCGGTTTGAAACAATAATTTATAATGGAACTTCTATTTGTTCTCTTTGGAATAATAATAATGTTGAATGATTAAAAAAATGGCGATTTGTCCGTTTTAAATGAAAAATGTCAAATAAATTTTCATCAGCATGGTGAAAGCGAAACATCTCTTTTCTCAACGATTCTTTTTGGCGATTCATTGTTCAACATTTTTATCTACTATTTACTGTAGCTTGAACTGAATATTGAATACTGCTTAGATATTAATATTCAAAACTTTTACAGCCTAGTTCAGATTGTAACGGTGTGCCGTACCACCGTTTATTTCGTCCTAGGTTTCCGCATGCAAACTTTTTGTCTTTGATATTCAATAACATTTCTTTTTTTTATTCACCTTTCGTCATTTGAAATTTTGACTAATCCAATATGCTCTTTATGAATGTCAGTTCGCAAAAAGAACATCTGGTGTGAACATGATAATGTAATCATATAAATTTAAATATAAAAAAAATAATAATGATGTTATTATAATTTAAATAAGAAAATTAACAATTTTCTAAACGTATATCTTCGTGAAATATCTTCCAAGTTTATATAATACAGAAAATCCAGAAACGGGTTTTTATTTTTCCTTTCCTTTATTACCTTATAATAAAATCAAGTTGGCAAGCTTAGCCAGCCTTTCATTCATTCGCCCAAGCATCGTACTCGTCACAAGATTAACATTTGCCTTATATCAGATATAACATAAACTATCTTCTGAATAATATTTTAATTGAATATGTGTAAAAAATATTTTTATTATTTACCGCTAACTTATTAAGACACTCTTTCAAAATTTAATAATATATTTAAACTATTATGTTTTGAATAGCATACTTATATTCTTAATGAAAAAGAATATATAGTTATATTAAAATATATTTAAGAATAAACAAAATTATTCTAAACATAAATCTAGTTATACAAAGCACAGAAAAGCTTTTTCTGATAAGTAAGAACATCACACACATCATTACACTGCCTTTCTTACATCTCATTACCTTCATACCGAAAAGAAAGTAAACTGAATACAATTTGTTTTACTTGGAATGTGTGCAGACAGTGTTAACATAATATACTTGGAGATTTGGAAGTTGTTAGCGGTGGCAACAGACGGCTATTTAGGATGAAAATGTTGAGACATAAAAGGAAAAAAAAATGCCGTTTATGTCTATTGATCTTATTTCATTGCACGTGGCCCATCAAAAAAGTCTGAAGTCCATATAATATATCAAAATATAAAATATGTATAATAGAAAGGTATGCATATATTTAATTGATAAAAAATAACAGTTAACATATAATAATTTACATTTGACCGATTAAAAAAAGTGTTTCACTGGAAGCTGCAGCATATACTTTAATTTATACTAACGAAGTTATGTATGTGTACTAAATGCATTCATAGGTATAGATTCATTCAAGATAAAATATATGTAAATGTTAATAAGGAACGTAAATGTGATATTCAGAGGAGATATCAAATGACATGATGTAGCAGGAAATATAAAGGCATTTCTTATACCCGAATCAATATGCAATACGATGAATGAGTAGGAAAACTATTACATGACCATAATGTGAGATAAGATATCCGAACGTAACACAAATAAATTTCGTTGCAATAAGCCAGCAAAGTAAGGAGTAATTCAGTTTTATTATTCAATTATAAGACTTAACCACAATGTTTTGTACTACATCTAAAACATTATTGTTAGAATTATTTGTGGATTGATCAATCAAATTTGTGTACTAGCAAGAGACTAACCTAATACTAGACCAATAAGAACAAATAGATTATTTTATTCTAGCCTCATTTCTGTTCTGATAGTTTGGCTTGATAGAAAAAACAATGGGAATAATAAAAGGCTACAGATTGCTTAAAACATCATAAAACAAACAAAGTAGAAATATAAAAAAAAAAAGAAAATGATTTCAAATGTAATAACGTTATCATTTCAAAATTATAACGTTATTACAGACCGCGGATTACAGTATAAGCTGCGATATGCTGGACGTTATTTATGAGTTTCTGTCTTCATTAGCGTGACGCATCATACATTTTTGTACTGTTGTACCTATCCAGCACTTACTTATAAGTAACTAGGTGTTTTCATCTTGGCACTAATACGTGATGACTTTAACTTAGCAACCTACATTGCAATGAACCAGTCACAACTATAAGTGATTTATATGCACTGATTCATGTAATTTCCGCGGTATGTGTGATTACTTTAGTTTTAAAAGGTTAAAAATAGAGGAGTGATAATCCCACAACTCAGTACTTCTTGGGACACAGGACACTTGGGCGAGGTATTGTGACGAGTTCGATGCTTAGGCAAATGAATAAAACGCTGACTAAGCTTGAAAATTTCATTCATTTGAGGGTAAAAGAAAAAAAAACCCGTTTCTGGGATTTCCGTAGTAGATAAAACTGCTGGTAATAATTAAGTTATTATTTAAATTATAATAACTTAATTATTATTAGAATTATAAATTTATATGATTAAATTATCATGTTCACGCCAGATGAATTTTTTTACGAACTTACATTCATAAAGAGCATATTGGATTACTCAAAATTTCAAATGACGAAAGGTGAATAATAAAAAGAAATTATGTTGAAAATCAAAGACAAAAAGTTTGCATGCGGAAGACGAAATAGACGGTCGATGGTACAACGCACGATGGTTACAGTAACCTGTGTACGAAGAGGTACTTGACCGCTCTCAGCTCCTCTACTTTTAGCATCTTTCTATCACCAGACATCGAAACTAAAAAAGTCCTGCATATTACCAACAAAATTAATAATAATGACGAAGTAAATATCAGATGAATGTAAAGAAGAATATATCCTGAAGGCTCAATATGGTGATAGATTTTTTATCTGCACATTACGATTTGTTTCTTACCTCTGTTTATATATTATTTTTCTTTTTTTACTATAATAGAAAATTCACATTAAGTTAACGTAAAATTGATATCGTCGACAGTTTATATTTCGTTACAATAATAATAACTATCTCGGCTTTGGGTCTGATTAGATTATTACAGTAAGGTTAGGTATAAACTGACTTATTATAACTTATTGTATATTGGCAAAATAAATACTGTATTATTATTATTAATGATTTAAATTTGGAAATATAGTAATCTTAAATAGATTATACAATTTATTCGTAGTCTATGTAATTATGAATATTTAAAATACGTTCCAATTTAAGATAAAGATAAAGTGCAAATGTAGATATAGGTAATTAATATCAAAACCAACACGCTTCGCCTAAATTAGTCCGGCAAAATGAAATCATAATAATATGAATAATTTATTTTTCACAAGGGAAAGAATAATTTTCAATCGTATTCGTCCTAAATTCATTACGAATTCTGATATTATTTTTTGGAAATAAAAGTGAAGTTCTTAAATCAAAATTATTATGTGTCAAAATTTTGGATTATAAGAATATTATAAAATAATGTTAGAAGAATACCTACTTTAAATAAGAAACATTTGAAAACCATACTGATATTGTAAATTCGAAAATTGTTTCTATGCCTTTTTTTCTCACAACGGAGAGTATGACTAGTTCCATACATGCTACTTTTTACCGCGAAAAAATACGAATACGAAGA